TAGCCCTAGCCCTGGGGCCCAGCCCAGCTCCTGCTCACGGTGCTGCCGAGCTCGGGGACGCTCAGTCGGGCCGCTGCCGCCGGGATGGGCTGAGGTTGGTGCAGTCGAGGGTCCGGCCCTTGTCTGGATGTGCGGGGGCGTTGAGGTGGCTGGGGACATCCAGGGAGCAGCGGTAGATGGAGGGGATCCCGGTTTGGGGGTCCTGATTTGGGGCACCAATAAGGGTGGGGAGCCCTTTTCTTCCCAGAGAGGCTCAGAAAATCCTTTCTGGGATCAGTTGCAGGCAGCTCTGTCCCGGAGTGACCAGCAAAAGCAGAAACAAACGGGTCCCGTTCCCTTTTTTCCTGCCGCAGAGCTCCTCTGTGAGGCTTTCCTCAAAACTCGGCCACTCCCGTGTGGCTGAAAGTCGCCTGGATGGGCATAAAACCTCGGTCAGCCTGGAGCTGGGGAGGGGAACGGGGCTGGGGGAGGGAGCTGCGGGCTGGACTAAACCGTCACTGGAATGTGCTGGTAGGAAAGAGCACTCAGGGCAGGTCCTGTGGTTATGGAGGGGTAGAGACCGCTGCTAAGGATGTGTCTGAGTCAGCAAAGGAGATAAAAGATAGCAAGCAAGAGATAAAACCTAACAGTTTCTCTCGCAGCAGCGTGAGGAGAGGGCTGGGGGAGGCAATGCACCTGTGATCACACAGTGCCAGGGGCTCGGTAAACACCCAGCCTGCCCGATCCCGGGCAGGTGAAAGTCGTGAGGCTCCAGCAGTGTGGATGTGGGGCGTTTCGGTGTGGTTTCCACCTCCCGTGTCCTCCGAGCTAGAGGATGCTGAAAGCACGAGCCCTGGCAACACCACAATGCAAATTGGAGGAAGATTAAACCAACCCCAAACCACGTATCCCAGGGCCCCTTAAACTGAGGCTTTAAGCAAAAGCCCTGAAAGAGGATTTGGTGCAGCTGTTTAAAGCTAACTCCGAGCTGCTTTCTCTGTTGGGTTTAAGGTGATTTATCAAGTTAAGATCAATTAACTCCCACTAAAGCCTAAATAAGATTAGGTGTTTGTTGGTCCAACTCTGGATGAAGGCGTAGGTAGAGGACGTGAGCGCTCGGACTCCCTGATCTCTGTTTTCCCCGCAGCCTGTGGGGAGCCATCTCCCCCCTCCCATGGCCTCTCTGCACTTCAGAGCACCCTTTCAGTAGCTGGGAAATTAAATTCCTCTTCCTGGCAACCCATTGCTGTTCCATTAGGCGATTTCTGAGTCTCTTTCTTTTCTCCCTCCTGCATTTTTAATCTAGGCAGGGCTGTTATGCAGTGCAAGGAGCTTTAAAAGCAATGGGAGGGCGGCAGCATCCCCTGGGGAGGCCGGGGAACATAATGGTCAAGTTCTGCTGCTGAACTGGTTCTGGCTGGGAGCCCCCAGCATGGAGGGGAGGATCAGAGCTCCCCATTACGGCGCTGAGCAAAGCGACTCGTGTCACATTTGGCTCCTTCTCTCCCCTCTTTCCCCAGGGGAAGGATCATGTGCTCTGAAGCGTGGGGGGGTGGTGTGGGGGTTTTTTTTTGGTAGGTTCCCCTTGCCCTCCCCCTTACAGCTCAAATTAGAAACAGCAGCAGCCTGACCCAACACCAGCTCAGTTACTCAGAGACACCTCAGAGCAGACCTAGGGCCCTCCCTGTCTATCCCAAAACTCTCCTCCGCTGTTTTTAACACTTCCTGTGCTCTCCGGCTGGAACGGGATGGCTGAAGCCTGACAGAAAGTACCTGCAAACCGGTGGAGCCGGATTTCCAAAGCCTGGTCTGGGGCTCAACCCCTCCCCTCGGCCCAGCTAAAATTAGCTCTGGCTTCAGAAGAGCTTTGCTTCCCATCGGGGCGTATAAAGAAAGGCTGGGTTTCCAGCGCTGCCTGGCAGCTCTCATGGCCTAAAAGGCAACGCTCCAGGAACAGGGGACAGCTGAGCCCTCTGTCCCTCAGAGCCTGGGCTGTGACAAGCCAAGTCCTGCACAGCCAGCTCCTCCCAGAGACTCCAGAACCTCCAAAACATCCCTCGGAGGAGGTGAAACCAGGACACGGGACACGCTTGGTCTTCCAGCTCCCCCTGACGAGTGCTCCTGGTCTGTGTCTGCACAGCGCGCTCTGAGGCCTTTCCCTGGCTGCATTTATTTGCCTTGGGGGGTTATCTCCCTGCCTCCCCTTCCTCCAAGCCCTCCACTGTGTTGGTGGTGGTGGTGCAGAACAGGAATTGCTGCAGGAGCACGTAATGGTGCAGCAAATGAGCTGACGGGGTCTGGCATGACCTGGGAGCGCCAGAGGGATGTGGCAGAAGCAGCGGCTGCTGTGATGGGAACGTGCAAACAGCTGAGCCGGGAAAGCTGGGGGTGCAGGGGGCTCCAGGCACCTCTGCAGCTCCATGAGGGCTTCACCAAGGACCCCTGGATCCTACTGAGGGAAGGGGAAGAGGGTGCTGGGGACACGAAACCTTGCCAGGTGGGGGAATCTGGCACTGAGCTTGCTGCTTATTCAAGTGCTTTGTGAAGGAGCTGGGGAGAAATGGTGTGTCTGTGGTGCTCATGGGAGACTCGCTGAGGTGGCAGCTGGAGAACGGGTCCAATCTACACAGGAGAAAAGCAGCCGAGGGGCAGTGAGGTCCCAGTGTGGGCTGGCTGCTTCCTCTGGTTGACCATCACAGTCGAGCTCGTGCTGAGAGAAGGAGGGCTGTACGAGAAGGAAACTGGGATAAAACAGGGTTTCTCCTCCCCAGCCGAACCGGCTCCCCTGGCATTTCAACACAAACCTGCCCTTGTGAGAGAGTGGGCCGGGTTCTTCCATGCTGCCTCCCTGCTGCGTGGCCAGTTCTGGCTCTGCAGGAGCAAACTGGGACCTGGGGTCTTCGTGCTGTGCAATGAGGAGGCTGTTCCTGGCTAAAGGGAGTTCACTGGGGTAAAGCTGTGCTGGAGCTGTGTCCAGGCTCCGCAGAGACCCTGGGGTGGGCAGGCCTGGACATCAGGGGGAGCAGCCACTTGCCCCATCCCATTCTTAGGTGGTTACAGCCTGTCTGAACTGGGAGCCCCGCTCACCTCTGCCTGTGATCTGGGGATTTTTCAGTGCTGTTCCAGCAGCCTGTGGGATCCCAGCACCTCTCCATGTGTAGGAGTGACCTGGAGATGAGCCGTGGAGGAAAAGAGGTGCTGCAGGCTCTGGCTGTGGTCACAGCGCACCCCAGTGAGAACCCAGCAGGCCATGGTGCCTCAGGAGCACATGGGGGATTATTGCTGATGCTCTCCCCTGTGGGCTGCTGGATTTGAACCTTTATTTCATGGTGACTGAGGGGAGAGGATCAGGGAGGGCAGCTGAGCGTGAACGTGGGGACTGGAGAGTTGATCTTGTCTTACTAAATCCATTTTTCCCTTTACAGATGTTTCCCGCTGGGCTCTGGCTCTAGGATGTTGGAGAACCGAGAGGAAGTAAGGCCCTTTCTCACCCGGGTTTTGTCCGTTCCTGGCTGGGGTTTGGCAGCGCTGGAGCTGGGGGTCTTGGCCAAGTGCTGTGCTGAGGGGTGAGAGGTGCTGAAGGTGCAGGGGCCGTGGGGCAGAGCTGAGGGGCAGCTGGGAAAGGCTGGAGGTGCCTGCGCTGTCCCTGGGTTAGGACAAGCCGGTGTCATCGTGGGTCCCTGTCCCCAGGGAAGGGGGTGACACTGGTGCCGTGGGGTAAGTGCTGCGTCCCCGTACTCAGGCAGTGTTTGTGCTGCAGGAGCTGACCACGGTGCGTGTGCAGGACCCCCGGGTGCAGAACGAAGGCTCCTGGAACTCCTATGTGGATTACAAAATCTTCCTCCATGTGAGTTGTGGCCGAGGGAGAGGGGATGAGCTGCAGAGCTCGGTCGTGCTGTCTGTGAGGCTCATGAGCAGAGCTGTCTGGCCACGACTGGGTGGGGATGAAAGGAGCCGCGAAGGGGGAACCCTCAGCAGCCCACCCCTCCTCTGCGCTGTCTCTGTGCGGGTCTGAGACCCAACTTCTCTAGAGCCTGCTCAGGTTTTCTGAGCACTTTCAGCTCCTCCACAGCCCAGTGTGTTGAGGGGATCCCTTAGCCACTGAGCTCAAGGGGTCTGCACGGGTGAGATCCTGCCCTTCTCTGCCTTGCTGCCCCTCAATCACGTGGATTATTTCCATAGTGGGTTTTTTCTTGCAGACCAACAGCAAGGCCTTTACTGCCAAGACCTCATGTGTGAGGCGCCGGTACCGTGAATTCGTGTGGCTGAGGAGGCAGCTCCAGAAGAACGCTGGCTTGGTGTAAGCACGCCTTGTTCTCCCTCCTTTCCCCCTCCCTTTCCCATTGCCCTGTGAGACCCACATGAGCTCAGAACAGATGTGGATAGAAACCCCAGACATGAACGTGGATATCTGAGCTCCTGGGATCCAGCTGTGCCCAAAGCAGGGTCCTGGCGCTGCCCCCGGGTCTCCTTGCTCTGCCCCTGACCCGCTGCCTCTGCTCTGTGCCTGCAGGCCTGTCCCAGATCTGCCCGGGAAATCCACCTTCTTCGTGGGCAGCACGGATGAATTCATCGAGAAGCGCAGACAGGGGCTGCAGCAGTTCCTGGAGAAGTGAGTAGAGCATCTGTGAGGGCTGGGTGGAGGGGGAGGATGCACTGTGCCCGTCTCGCTTAGAAGATGCTGGTGGGGAGGTAGCAGTGGAGCTGTACATGCTCACCCTGGCGTGCTCCTGGCCACCTGCCTCACTCACCCTCCTCTCTCTGTGCACAGGGTGGTGCAGAACGTGGTCCTTCTCTCCGACAGCCGCCTGCACCTCTTCCTGCAGAGCCAGCTCTCGGTGCCCGAGATAGAGGCCTGCGTGCAGGGCCAGGGCTCGCAGACGGTGACAGAAGCCATCCTGCACTACGCCATGTCCAACTGCGGCTGGGCGCAGGAGGAGGAGATGCGCCCCGCGCTGCTGCCGGGAGGGGACCTGCAGGGCAGGTAATGCAGCCAGGGACAGACCGGTGTCCCCAGTGGCCCCCAGCCCCCTTTGCTGTCCCTGGAGCTGCTCTGTGCTGGCTGGAGCAGGCCTGGCTACCGGCAGCTGGTGCCTCGCTGTCTGCTCCTCTCCTTGTCTGTGCTTGTGGCTGCGGGTCTGGCTACAGCCTGATTTGAAGTGGTCTGTGCAAGGGACTTGCACCAGTAGGAAACAGCTGCTGTAATGAAATAAGAGGAGCTGCCAGGTTTTCTAGAGATCTCTCAGTGGTTCTGAGCTTTCCGTCCCATCCTTGTTACGGTTGTTTGAGGGAATGCATGTCCCCCAGCCTTGCATGCCAAAGGGGTGGGATTCCTGGAGGTCAGACATAGGAGCTGGACATCTTGGGCTGTCACCAGCAGTCCCCTGCACTGCCCTCCAGGCTGTTTTGGAGGGTGACCTGTCCTGACCACGGCCAAAGCTTAGCAGAAAAGAGCTCTCAGAAGGACTTAAGCTGAGATTTGCCAAGGTCTTTGGCTGCTTTCCTCCCTTAATCTCTGGAGAGCGAGGAGCCTTTGGAGGCTTTCAGAGCTCAGGCTTTCTGTGTGTCTCGCCTTCATCCTTGCAGCGTGAGTGGGTTCTGCGATTCCTTATGCCCATCAGAGCTTCAGAGTGCTTGCTGCACGCTGGGGAATTAATCTGCCATCTCCCCGTGGGGTGGCTGCGTCCCCTGCAGCCACTCAAGGGTTTTCTGCACCTGGGGGCATCCTCAATCTGCCACTGCTGCAGTGTGGGCTCTGCCTGGCAGAGATGCTCTGGGTCCCTCGGCCCCTCACATGAGGTAGTAGCTGTCTCTGCCCTTCTGCACCACCCTCTGCCTGTGTTTCTTCATCTTGGTTTCCAAATAGCAACAAGAAAGAGGTGTCTGGACTCCAGCGAGAGACGTGGTTTTAAATAGAGCCCTCATGGTTTAAAGGAAGGGCTTTGAGGGAGCGCAGCACCCCAGGCTCACGGGTAGGTACCCAGGCAGGGTGGCTTCATGCATCCCTCTCAGCTGCCAGCACCGTCTGCCTCTTGCTGGGGGCCATCCCCCCCTTTCCTGCTCTGGGCTTGCGTGCGAGGGTGAGCAGCTGCTTCCATGGCTGAGCTGACTGAGGGCTGCGTGGAGGGGGCTGTGCTAAGGAGGCAGTGGCTGACGTGGAGACACGCAAGCGCCTCAGGCCCTGCATCTCCCCCAGATCCCTTCTCTGCTCTGACCCGTCCTCTCTTTCCAGCTGTGCTGGCCTGCGAACCCTGCAGGGTCCCAGCTGCCTGGAATCCTTCCCGTACTGGAGCGACTTCAGCATGGACGACACGCACTCGGACAGCCCGGATGAGCCCGCCGAGCCCTCGGGTGCCAGATGCAGTGAACGGCTCTAGGGACATTGCCCACCTTCCCCCGGACCTGCAGCCCTCGCTGGGAGAGGAACCGCTGATGTCCAGGCTGGTGGGACTGGGGCTGCGCTGGGAACACGGCCTTGTCCTGAGCTCTGAGGTGCCCGGGGCTCACGTGCTCTCTCCCTGCTGACTCTTGACTGTCCTTGGTGTCCCAGGCAGCACGTTTGTGTCGCTCTTCTCTTCGGAGAAGAGACCTAGTGGTTAGTGCAACCTGTGTTTGTTGTTCCCATGGCCTTTGCTCTCCGACTGGAGCAGCAGCAGGGCTGAGTTTGGTGGCAGTGCCAGCAAGGCTCTGCATTCTTGGCACAGACAGGGTGGGATACGTGGGCTCACATCCAGCACGACGGAGCAAGGATTCCCTTGGTGGAGCAGGGGCCGACCGCTCCTCAGTTCACTTCCCCTGTGTTCCCGGCAGAGGAGGCCGCATTTCCCCGGTAATGGCTGCGCTGTGCAGCTCCTGGGGAGGGTTTTGGCTCAGCTGCACAGAGCCAGAGCCCACATGTGGGGGTGCAGATATCATACCCACACCTGGGGCCTCCTGGCACAGCTTTCACCTCCCCAGGTTGCCTGCAGCTGGGATGAACAGGGATCAGCTTCCCCCTGGGAGCACAGGGCAGGGGAATGCATTGATGGGGAGGTAGAGGAGAGTGTCAGTTTGTCTCCTCTGCCCTTTTGAGGGATGCCCCTTCCAGCTGGGCTCCTGCAGTAGAGCAGATCCCCTTCCTCACGCACTGATTGCCACTCACAGGGGGGCTCACAGGGTCTATTTTGCTGCAAAAGGAGCGTGTAGCTGCCATGGAGTTGGTGCCCAGCAGCGTTTGGGCTCTGGGTACTCCTGAAGCTGCTCCCTGTGCTCTCCTGCACCTTTTCCTCCCACCCTCAGCACTGGTGAAGGCAGAGCCGACGTGCTCTGACTTGAAATAAAAATGAAGTAGAAGAGACTTACGGGTTGCTGGCAATGCCTGTCCTCGCTGCGTGGGCAGAGGGAGCTGAGGCTGAGCTAATTGCAGATAAGCAGCTTTGGGAGGGGAAAAAGGACCTCTGAGGACCCTGCCCCGGGCAGCAGAGAGGGCATTTGTGATGGTAGGACCAGCCCCAGGATGGTGGCAGGGGACAGACAGCGCCCATCTTGGCCCTAAATTGAGTTTTGGGGTGCTGAGCCTGGCTGTGTTGTTGGGTCTCAGCCCCACACAGAGAACAGGACCCACCGGGGATGGGGAGGGAGGGCTGGAAACCCATCAAGGCGCAGCCGAAATGTCAGGAGAAGTTCACTGCGAAGGCTGGCAGCTGCCGGCGCGCTG